AATCTTCTAATATATTTCTTGTACAGTGTCTTGTAATTACAAATTAATTTAACTTTTCTCAAGCATACACAACGAAGTAGTAAATGAGAAATTGTGAAGTCTGGTACTGCACTAATGATTTAAAGATTAATTAGTCTGATTTTACAAAGGAAATTCAGCACTATCTTTAGTATTATAAATATTACACTAATGAATCTTTATAAGAAATCCAACTTCAATTTTTTATTGGCAGTGCTAAAATAAACTATTGTGACTTAAATTGAAGATTAAGAAGTAATACATTGTGGAATCTCTGGGCTAAAAATAGATTTGGTTCTAAATTAACTCAGTATTAGTGTTGTAATGCTGTTTGCAAATTTCCATCTGTTATCATTCCCTCTCCTTTGGGGTATGTGCTGCAAATATTTCAAATGTTGGTAAACTGAATTCAAATATACAAGTTGTCACTAGCACTGAAAATTTTGCCATCTCTTCTTTATAGTGATCTAAAAACTTGTTAACATGGCATTTGATTCCCTCCCTGCACCACTAAAAGGCAAGTCATGGATGGAAGCTTGTGAGAATAACTGGCCCAGATTAGCTACTTTTCCCAATTAGTCATCATAAACTTTTCACAAGGATTTGCAGACCCTGGCTTTCATCTTTGTCTCTCTCTGCACTGAATATTGCTTTAAGTGTCTCTGGCCCTTCTCTTGCAATGACTCCACTGTACAGGTGCTCATTTCCTGAGTATATGTACACGCTGTGCCCCTCCCCACCCTAGCTGAAGGACAGTCAGAGTCTTTGACCAGTCCTTTCTAGCCACCTTTAACATAATTTATCACTCCTTTACTGTAGCACGGAGCCCTGTAACAGGGTTGCCATGCTCTTCCTGTCAGGATGTACTGCTAAGGTCTTTCAAGGCCTGGCTCAAATGATGCAGAATGCTCTTAACTTGTGACATGCAGAAATGTGCATTATATGGTTTTCTTTATTTTAACAGAAGGCAAACATTCATTCACCCTTACATCAGGGGTACCCTGCTCTTTCTGTCTGTTTATTCCCTGAAGCCCTTTCCATGGAATGTTTCAGGGATGTATTTGGTAGCTGTGTTGGTCTGAGACAAAAAGATGAAACATGGAAGATGCCAAATTTTGCCTGATTTTGGAATTATAAACTTCACTGCTGAACAACAAAGAAAGATTCCTCTAACTCCCTGCCTTTCTGCCATCTGCCATCACTGGGGAAGGAAGCCTGCCTTATGTGCACATCAAAGAGCAACTCACACAAAAAAACTCTCATGGACCCAGAGGAACAGATCTTTACCTTCAGCTGCTTCTGTGCAAGATGAAGTTTATTTTCTGTCTATGGGGGCTTTAACCATCTTTAATTTTCCCTAAGCCTGAGGAAGGGCACATCGCCCTCAGAATAGCTAGTTCAAACCCAGATGTCATAG